AAAAAATGGAGACAAGGGAGAACGATGTTAGAATAAGGCAAAGATGCAGTGTGTGCCCAGAGTGAATCCACGTTTACAATAACATTGTCAAGGCTGAGGGGAGGGCTTGGTAGGTGACATACTTGCTGTGTAAGCACAAGAACCTGAGTGCAGATACCCAGCACTGTCATCAAAAGCCAGGCACCTGTACCAGGAACAGAGGGTTACAGAATCAAGGGACAGAGACAGGAGGAGCCTGGGGCTCGCTGGGTTAGTCAGTTGAGCAGAAACAGCAGGCTGCAGGTTCAGTGAGAGTTACTGTCTTACACAGTAGAAACTGGAAGCAGGCACTCTAGAGTGTACCATGTGCACGTACACACACACATGTACATACACACACATACACACACTGAACTAAACAAGAAAAACTCACAAGTATGCATGGATTTACAGAGGGTTCATGCATACGTATTAATTACTGTCTTGGGACCAGAAGTGACTTCTAGCTCTGAGGCTTTTTTTTTTTTTTTTAAGATTTATCTCTTTTATGCTTTTGTAAGACAAACCAGAAGAAGGCATCTTATCCCATTACAGATGGTTGTGAGCTACCATGTGGTTGCTGGGAATTGAACTCAGGACCTCTGGAAGAGCAGTCAGTGCTCTTAACCGCTGAGCCACCTCTCCAGCCCCTAGCTTGGAGTTCTTTATTGTCTGGCTAAACACCTCCCATTGCAGGGACAGCAAATGTCACACTCTGAGTGCTGGTAAAGCAGCCTGTCAGCCTCCCACCAGCCTGGCCGTCTCAATCTTATTCTACACGTGGGGAGGGTGAGGAACAAGGAGGCTGTTCCAAGATCTGAAGCATTCTGAGCACCATGAGGACACAGTGTCCTCAACTTTTGAGAACTCTGGACTTCAGATTAGGGATGAGCATCCTGTACAATCACCTCCAGCACGACAGTGGCATTCTGAATTTTAAAAATTCAGAGAGGTATTAGTAGATGGCTGAGTGAAGTATGAGCAGAAACTCAAAATCTGCCTTTAAATACTATAAAAGAAAGGCAGCAAGGCGGCTCAGAGGTGAAGGTACTTCCCTTTAGATCTGAAAACCGGATTCAAACCATGGAGCCTGCTCTCCTTCCAAGATAATCTCTGACCTCCACATGCACACCACGCCCCCTCCCTCCCTCCCTCCCTCCTCCCCCCTCTCCCCTCTCTCTAGATGTGAGTGGTAAGGGCTGAGCTGTAGAGTCGAGGTGGTTCCTGAGTGTCCTCAAAACGTCTCTCCATCAGAACACACTGTGCTGGGCATGCGTCAAATCCAAAGGAAGCTCCAATTATCCACATTCCAAAAGTCAGAAGAGACAAATGGCTATCTGCGGTACCTACTGGCGTACCAAATGGCACGCTGACCTCAGGGCTCCCTCAGTACCACAAGCACCTGTTATATACTTCAGAGTCCAGGCTAGCTCTTCTCACCTCCTCTCCACCCTAAACTCTCCCAGCTCACAGGCTCCCAAAAGCTACCATTTCTCCTAAACTTGCTCTTTCAGCTACTACCTTGTTCTCCTCTCTTCTCTTCACCTTGCTGGTCCAACGTTTTCTTTGTGCTCTTTTGTGCTACTCACCCCCCACCCCCTGCCATGCAGCACCCCCTTCTGCTCCTGGCTTTTCTCCTGGCCTTGACCTGTCTACTACTCTTCCAGATGCCTCTGGCTGTTCTCCCTCATATCTACAATAACAACCCCCCCCCTTACAGGTGGCACACACCTTTAACCCCAACATTCAGAAGGCATCTCTATGAGTTTCACCTGGTCTACATAGTGACAACCTGGAGGGTAGAGGGGGAAGGGCTGGAAGAAGGGCTGGTTGGTCCCAGCTACCTGGGGAAGGCAAAGAAAGACCCTGAAGCCCAGCAGTGTGAGTCCCAGCATCTAGACTACCTTTTCAGCAGTGTTTCCTGCCTCCCCTTCTGCAGTCCCTACACTCACACTCACACTCAGGCTTCTGTGAACAACACAGTAAGGTCAGCGCCAGCCCTCTCTCTGGAGTGAGGAGCTGAGCCGCCTGCCCCCTTGCCCTGTGTCTCTGGCTGTGTCTTCCTCTGGAATCCAGGGTTTGTTCTCTAGGCCAGGGCCACTCCAGGGGCTTTCTCCCCATCAGCAGAGGGTACCAAGGACAGAAAGAATAAAAAGCCCGACTTTCATCCTGGTCTTAGCAGGGCCCATCCAATCTCTCCACTACTGAGGACAAGTTGTCTTGTAAAAAGCAGGAATCCGATCTCGCTGGCAGTGGTTAGGCCTCTCCCAGGCCTGCCCCAGTGAGTGCCAGGTACTGCGGCCCTGAGGCTTCCTGTTTATCCTCCTCTGAATCTCTTAACAACCTTGTGACAAACCCCAGTTTATTAAGTGCCTGCCAAGCCCTGCAGGATCTCCACTGAGGGCCAAAGCTTTGGCTAGGCTTCCAGCTTTGAGCGCCTCTGCTTCCCCTCTTCCAAATGCAGTCCCTTGATTCTCTGGTAACACAGGACTCCTTGAGGTCCCTGGGACACAGGAGTTGCTTCACCTCCAGGTCTCTGCATATTCTGTTGAGTCCATTTCCCGGACTGTTCTCTTTCCTATTTCAAGATCCAAGCAAGGTCTTAGCCATCCTTCAAGCTCCCCCAACACCCATGAACTAGCATCTATCGGCCCAGGTCTCCTTTTGCTGGTGGTCCATATCTGGTCTCCAGTTTTCAACTGGGTTACACCTCAGCTGGCCTGAGATGAGAATTCAGTTCCCTGTGGTGAGACAAATATATTTTTAACTTGGGGAGATATGCAACAATAATTTCAGTATAGATCGTGGTAGCATCTTGTGATATCGTTTTATGCAGGCTCTAGGACAGTACTGTCCAAGAGGGACAGCTGCAAACACTTGGGAGGCAGAGGAAGAGGATCAAAAGCTGATGACCAGCCTTGGCTACATACCAGTTCAAGGCCAATCTGGGCAACACAAGTTCCCATTAAAAAAGGTGAGGGTGGGTAAGGAAAGTGAACATTCTCTTTCTCCACAGCCAAGCTAAGCAGGCCCAGGCCAGCCTTCTTCAGAGTTCCCATAGGGACAGCAGAGGGTCTGCCTTGTGGACGAGCCAGAGGAGTGGTCCTCAAAGCAAAGTTCAAGAGGACGGAGTAGGAGGAAGAACACTGTCCACACTAGGAAGAAGTGTCTACCACACAGAGACATCAGTGAGAACAGCAGTCCAGCTCCAGTAGGGTAGAGAGAGAAATCGTTGGACAGTTCAGAAAAAAGAACCTCCTCAAGGGCAAACTCATCCACATACAAACGAAACCTACTCCTGCTCAGACAACTGAGAACTGAAGCATTTGACAACATAAGGTTATGGGGGTACTTTTAGACATGCCTGACAGAAAACCTCTCAGTATTAAAAATGTGGACTCCTGTGAGCCTCAGTCTTACCCCTAAGAGTGCATCCTATGTATTAGAACAGAAGCCAAAGGCATACATGTTGTGTTTCCCAGCCACACTTCCTATATGAGCTCAAGGCTGGAAACACATCACCCTAGAACTTGCTGAGTAACTTGGGGGCGCCCGTGTGCTGCTGCTACAATAGAAAGAGCACAGCGGAGCGACCACTGCTCTCCTCAGTTAGAAAGGTTCCCAAACATACCGTTCAGTGAAGGCAGTAAGGTCAGAGAGCTGCAGCTCGGCCTCTGGGACACTGGGTGCCCAGTCTCCACTTGCTCTTCAAGGGCACTGTGCTGGTTTGAGTAGGAATGTCCCCCATAGATTCCTGTACTAAAATGCTTGGCCCATGAGAGAGGCACTATTAGGAGGCGTGGCTTTGTTGGAGGAGGTGTAGCCTTACTGGAGGAAGTGTGTCACTGCAGAGGCGGGCTTTGCGGTCTCCTATGCTCAAGCTCGGCCCCGTCTACACTTCTGCTGCCTGTGGATCAAGATGCAGAACCCTCATCTCCTTCTCCTGCGCCTGCCTGCCTGCAGGCTGCCACGCTTCCTGCCATGATGATAACGGTCTAGACCTCTGAACTGGTAAGCCGGCCCCAATGAAATGTTTTCCTGGATAAGAATTGCTGTGGTCATGGTGTCTCTTCACAGCAATAGAAATCCTAAGACAGGAACAGAGAAACTGCAAGCTGCAGGGTTTGGGGTTCGGGGGTTAGGGCACGGAGAGGAGGTGGCCATTGCTATTCTCTCCCAAGTACTGAGATCACAAGCATACACCACTACACTAGGCTCAAATTCCTTTTTGCAAGACAAGGTTTCAGGTATGCCATGCTGGCCTTGAACTTAATAGCCAAGGGCAAATCTCTTGTCTCCACCTCCCTAGTGACAGGGTTACAGGGATGTGTTACCGTGCCATGCTTACGTAGCACTGGAGGCCTGAAGCCACAGCCTTGTGCACTCTAGGCTAGACTTTTGAGAGGTGAGCTTCCTCTCTGGCCCCCACACTGGTCTTTGTAATTGACTCCCTGGACCAGTGCCCTAGAATCACTGAAAGTGCTTCTGTGGAATACGGCTGGCAAGTCTCAGGGTCATGAGCAGGAAGAACTCCATTTCTTCTCAAGACTCTGATAGGTTCCCCAAGTCTGAAGATATAAGGGGGTGGGGTGAACGGTGTCTTTAAACCAAGCATCCCAGCTCTTCTCAGTTCCAGTTGGAAAGACCCCAAGCCAGAAAGGCTCCAGGTAAAGCATAGCATCCCAGGGGCTGGAGAGGTGGCTCAGCGGTTAAGAGCATGGACTGCTCTTCCAGAGGTCCTGAGTTCAATTCCCAGCACCCACATGGTGGCTCACGACCATCTGCAACGGGATCCGATGTCCTCAGAGCAACAGTGTACTCATATGCGTAACATACATACATACATACATACATAAATCTTTCAAAGAAATCTTTAAAAAAAAACAAGGAGACTAGCAGGCCAAAGGATTCTGTCCACCACCCCCCCTTCATACCAGGGCTGTCCTCCACTCTCAGGACAGCCACACAGAGCACAGACTCACCTCTCATCTGGAGAGTCTACATGGAAGGTCCTCTCGATGACTGTGGTCCACTGCAGGCAGCGTATGACAAAGGTGTTGGGTCGTGGCCTCTCAGTCTTCATCAGCTGGCATTCTGTGGGTACAGGCAAGAAAAGAGTGAGGGGATGGTCCTTCTGACTACAGACCAAGTTCACCACGCCATCTTTTGTTTACCAACCCCTATACAAGATGATGCCAGAAACTGAGATAGTCCTGGCCCTGTCCTCGAGGGTACAGGATGCCACAGTCTCCACCTGCTCTTCAAGGACACAAAGAAACCCCAAGCTGTGGGAAGGACTACACAGATGGGGCACAAGTGACAACGAGGCTTTCACCAGCTCCTCCTCCACACGATTCTTACTTTCTTGGTTTCAGCCCATTCCCACGGTTCCAGAGATGAAACTCAGGGTTTAGTTCATAACAGACAAAGGCTCTGCCACTGAGCGAGGGCTCTAGCTTACTTCTTCTTGTGAAACAGGGTCATATACTAAGTCATTCAGGTTGTCCTTGAACTCACTCTGCAGTCCAGAAAGGCATTTCTGGCTGCCTCAGCCTGCCAAATACAGAAGTCCACCATGTGTTGAAGGTCAAGCGGGCAGCAACAACTCAGGATTCATGACCAGACAGGAAAAGACAGAGACGTTATCTAACCCAGAAGGTAAGGGGAACAAGTTAATAAAACACAGTGGTATGTGCAAGGCCGGCAACAGGAGAAAGAAGCCTCAGATCTAGAGAGGTGCGTCAAGCAGGCCAGGCAGAACCCTGGAAACCACACTGAGGAGTCCAGTCTCTGTCCTTGGGGTCATGGAAGGGATGTGTAGAGACTGAGACAGGTGATTCTTGCTGAAGGCCAGAGACAGCACAGAGAGTTAACCAAGGCTAATGGGCTACACCAGAGCAGGGCAGAGCTGGGGAGGGAAGGGCACTGGGATACCGGGCAGAGAGAGGCATCTAGAGCCAGACCCAGGTCACGGCCTGAGATCTAGGCTTAAACAGGATTGCCTCAGATGGAGACAGGAGAAAGAGAAGATGGCGGGCAAGGGACAGGAAAGTCAGTTTGGGATATGGTGAGGACGGGGGGTCCTTGAGGCTACCCACGGAAAAATTTTCAAGACGCTGCTAGAGCTGGGCTAGCCGATCAATTCAGAAGCTGGAGCAGGTAGCAGAGGCGGCAGGGCCATGGGCACAGGAAGAGAGCTGCCAGAAAAAGGCTTTCTGCAGAAGGGCTGGGCACGAGGCTGCGCTCCAGAGACTGCAAAGCCAGAAGGTGAAGCAGAAGCCGCAGCAAGGCCCTCAGAGGAAATGGACTCTGGGGTAACAGGCACAGGTCATCTATGAAACACTCTCAGCAGCTAGGATAAGAATACGGCATTGGGCTCACAGTAGAGAAGAGACAAGAGCACAAGGGGATTACTGGGCCTGTCAGGCTGGTCAAAAAAATACCAGGGCAGTGGTGGCTCACACCTTTAATTCCAGCAGTCAGGAAACAGAGGCAGCCAGATCTCCATGAGTTTGAGGCCAGCCTGGTCTACAGAGTGAGTTCCATGACAGCCAGGGCTACATCAAGACCCTACCTCAAAAACCACACATACACACAGAGAAAACACCAGGTTAGATCCCACAGAGGGAACTGAGGGCATATGGTAAGCCCTGGAGCAGCTAAGTCAGATGCTAATATCGATTTGGCTAGAGGGACAGAGAGAGGAGGGAGACTGTTGTTGATAGAGCAGACAGGACACCAGCTAGAACCACAGGGCCAAGAAGGGGGAGGACTTCTCACTATCCCCAGAAAGGAAACACCCACTGACAAAGAGCAACAGCAAGAAAGGACAGAAGTCAGATCTGAGGGTGAAAGGCCTAAGACAGGTTCCCACTCAAGCATAACTGTGTCCATTGTGTCCCATGTGTCCCAAACACCTGCCAGCAATGCCGTGAGCTGTGGAACTCCAGCCTGCTGGCCCTGAAACACACCTGCTACAGAGAAATTGTTCAGAGGGGGTAAGGTCTGGTCAGGGGCCTCGGGTCTCTCCTTATAACCAATGAAAGATCCATCACTCTTCAGAAGGAAGTACCGGGGCCTCCAAGTCTTGATGTATTCACCTGAAACAAGGCAGGAGGAGAAAAGGTCAAGGCAAAGTTAAACAGTATCCCAGCAGGCAGGCAGTCCAGGGTGACAATGACTCACAAGGGAACTACATTGGGAAGAGGTAGATGAGGCTCTCCCAAGGGAACCTTGGAGGTGGCACCTGCTGACGCAGGCTGGGGCACTCACTGCACTGGGCCCAAGTGACCCACAGGTCATGCTTGGCAGGAAGTCACCTGCAACAGTCCCCCGGGGCCACACCACCTTAGTATATATGGCAGTAGCAAGCTATCCGTGCCAATATGGACTGTCCTAAGGGATGCCTGGGGTTCAAAACACGAACTGCTCGTGAGGTCCTGCGGCAGCTTGCTGCTTCCACTGCCTTGCCTTAGGGCTGTTGATGAGCCGGGTAGTTTCTTCAGGATTCAACTATGGCTGCCTGGTGTCTGCTTGCTGAAAGGACTGGACTGTGACTGCTGGTTCATGTCTGCTGCCTGCCTGCCTAGAGGACTGTCTGCAGAAATACGATCAGTCGCATTTGGTGTTTGTTAGGAGACTGAACTCCTGATAAAGAAGATCGAGCTCAGCCCCAAAGAACTAATCCTGAGCAGGTCCACTTCCCCCATATCCTAGTAACTTTTTTCTTCCACGGCCTCTGCTGGGTGGTGGGCCAAAGGAGAGCCGCTATTAAAAGTAGGTTGCAAATAATTTATGCCTACAATGATGGGCTACTATTTGGTCAGAATAAGAAATGTCAGCCTGCTGCTCCATTCTGTGGAGTAGCTGAACCATCACTTCTGCCTGAAGCAAAGAAGTCAATCACAAAGGAGCACACACTGAGGGCCATTCTGACTTTCAATATTTCAACTACATGACTGTGAAAGTGACAGGCATTCTGCAAAAAAGCATAGTTCACACTTTGAGTTTTTTTCTTTTGCCAGGCTGGTAGTATTCAGCAGGATTCTCTAAAGTCTGAGACTTTCAGTCAACCCTGTAACTTCAAGAGGACACAACCAAAAGTCTTCCATTCCAGGGTGGCTACACTATGATGCTCATGGAACTTAGGAGTGCCATGCTTCTAATTTATGACATGTTTTCCTAAAATGATGAGAACCTCTCTCTCTCTCTCTCCATCCATCCATCTATCATCTCTATCTATCTATCATCTATCTATCTATCTATCTATCTATCTATCTATCTATCTATCTATCTATCTATCTATCTATCTCTGCCCATTTATATAAAATGTCCAGAATAGCTAACTCTATGAAGATGAAACGTGGATCAGAGATTGCCTGGATTGCCTGGAGACGGGACTGTGAGAGCCAATGTGAGAACGGTGCTTTTAGAACAGAAGCCAGCTGTGAAAACTCACAGTTGCAATCCCAGCACTAGGCAAGCTGAGGCAGAAAAGATTGCTCAAAGTTCCAGGGCTACCCTGGGCTACATAGGGAACTCCAGGGCAGCCTAGTCTAGAGTGAGACCATTAGTCTAAAACTGATTGTAATAATGGCTATACTGAGATGGCAGAAGCAGGAATCTGAGGTCAGCCTGCACACCCCAGGGATAGCTTGTTTCTGTAGAAAGAGGAAAACTGTACACTATGACCAAGTAAATATACACTTCGGCTACCAGCTGGAGCCTCTGTCTTCCAGTCATTTGCTAAATGTCAATCACAAAGGAAAGGAAAAGCTGGGAGGCACCAAGAGTCGCTCTCCAGGCCTTTCAGGAAATGCAGAGTCTCTCCCTTGGCCACGTATATGGGAATATACAAGAAGTGCAGTAGTGTAGACATCAAAGGGATGGATAGTACTCACAGAGGAACAGCTCACAAAAGTTACCATGGCAAAACTGGAAGAGTCTACAATGGCACCCAGCATGCTGTGGGCACTGCTACAAACAAGCAAGCTCAGGGCAGGAGGGTTGCCGGGAGAATTAATGTGGGTATTGAGCATGTGATGCACTCTAAAAGCCAGCTTCCTGAACCGGGTGCAAGAAGATGATCAGAGAAAGAAAGAAGCTAAAGGAAAGGTTCCTGGATTCAGTGGACACACCAACCTGCTCCCTGCCCCCACCTCAAAAGGTCTACACACGGAAAGGAGCCTAAGCGGATGGACTCCCTATCAAGTCGGCTTATTAGATATAAAGATAAGTCAGTATAGTAAAGCAGCTCAGCCTCTTTGACTGACAGAGGAGGTATCTGACGGAGCACAGCGCACCCATCGCCACAGCGGATTCAACGCCCTGGGAACAGAATGGACCAACATGACAAAGGGGGGAAAGCCTATGCAGCTGTCACTGTCCCGAAGCAGAGACTGCAGGTCCCTGAGTCAGGAACAATACGAGGATGTCTGCTTTTACCAATGTTAAGCAAACTTACTATCTGCTCACGATGGACTGACGCTCCAGTCTACAAAGTAGTTGAACTGTCACTTAGGTCTAAGGTCAATCACCTTTTTTTTTTTTGACCAAAAATATAAAAGGCATCCACACTGAAAAGGAAGAAGTACTGAAATGATCTTTATTTGCAGGAAACAAGATCCTATGTAGTAAAACCCACAGAAGAATCCACACAAAGCTGGGACGTAGCCCGGCTGGTACAGCACGTCTAGAATGTAAGAAGCCTGGGTGCCGTCCTCAGCACTACACAGTCCAGCCGTGGGAGATGGAAGCAGGACGAACAGCAGGGCACTATTATCTTCAACCTCACAGGAAGTTCATGGATAACTCTGGCTTACTGAGAATGTGAGATGAAAAAAAAGCCAAACATGGTGGTACATGACTCTATAGTCCCAGCTACTAAACGCTGCGGTAGGAGACTTGTGTGAGGCAAGTATTCAGGCTAGCTTAGGCAACAGAGCAAGATGCAAACAGCAACAATGGGAGAAACAGGAGGATGACAGAGAGGGGAAGGAAAAAAGGCAGGCAGGCAGGCAGGCTGACTAGGTATAGCTGTATAAACCTGTAAGCCCAGCACAGAATAAACCTGTAAGCCCAGCACAGAGGAGGCTGAGACAGGTGGATCACCATGAGCTCAAAGCCAGATGGCGGTGTACCACTGAGCAGGAGTGGCTAAGGCAGTAAGAGGACCAAGCATTACAGATTAATCAGGGCTACATTAACAAGGCCTTACTTCAAAAGCAAAGAAAGCTGGGTGTGACTGTCTACATCTCCCTAGAGTTCAAGGTCATCCTGGGCTACAGTGTGAGGTCCAGGCAAGCCTGGACTGCATAATGAGAGATCTGGTTTTAAAAACAAACAACAGGGCTGGAGAGGTAGCTCAGCAGTTAAGAGCACCATCTGCTCTTCCAGAGGTCCTGAGTTCAAATCCCAGAAACCACATGGTGGCTCACAACCATCTGTAATGAGATCTGATGCCCTCATATGGGTGTCTGAAGACAGCTACTTACATAGAGAAGCCAGTGGGGGCCTGAGTGAGAGGGGCTGGAACAAGAAGGAGAAGGGAAGGGGGAGGAAAATAAAAACAAATGCACAAAAACAAATCCCCAAAATAACTATGAGAGCTAACAGATTATGTTAACACCACACAAGTCAAGAAGGTTTCCATACAACAAACAAACCAAAAAGGTTCGGCAGTTAAAACTGGTTGCTTCTGCAGGACTTGGGTTCAGTTCCCAGCACTCACATGGAGAAATAAAACCAGCAGTAACTCCAGTTCTTAGGATTCAGCACACTCTTCTGGCTTCTGTGGACACCAAGCACACAATGGTGCACTTCTATTCATGCAGGCAAAATACATTTAAAAAGTGTGTGTGTGTGTGTGTGTGTGTGTGTGTGTGTGTAGGTAGGTAGCCAGGGCAACACAGAGAAAGTGTAAACACATACACACACAATTTTGGAGGGCTAGAGAGATGGCTCAGCAATGAAGATCACTGGCTGCTCTTACCAGAGAAGCCAGCTGGACTCCCAGCATCACAGGGCATCACAACGGTCTGAAACTCCAGTCCCAGGGGAGTCTGTGGGCACTGCACGTGAGTGGCACACAGACATGCATGCAGCCAAAATACATATAAAAATAAGGGTTTTGTTTGTTTTTTGTTTTGTTTTCTGAGATAGCTCTAGCTAACCTGGATCTCAATTTACAGACCAGGCTAGGCTCAAATTCAAGAGATGCACCAGCCTCTGCCTTCCAATCGCTGAGATTAAAGGCTGTGCCACCACATACCCAGCTGAATAAAAATACTTTTCAAAAAGAAAGAAAAACTTAAAAATTCTGCACTGATGAGTTTCCTGTAAACATGACACAAGCTAGGGTCATCTGGGAAGGCCAAACCTCAACTGAGAAAATGCCTCCATCAACTCTATGGGTCATGTTTTTAATTAATGATTGATGTAGGAGGCCCGTACCACTGGGGGACCAGCTATGTGACCCCTGGGCAGTTGGTCCTGGGTTGTGTAAAAAAATAGGCTGAGTTGCCGGGCAATGGCAGAGTATGCCTTTAATTCCAGCACTTGGGAGGCGGAGGAGGCAGGCAGATCTCTGAGTTCAAGGCCAGCCTAGTTTATAGAGTGAGTTCCAGGCCAGCCAGAGCTACACAGAGAAACCCTATAGAGATTTGTTAGCACCTAAACCTAGTATGTGATAGGGTTAAGTCTTCCAATTTATGAATACTGGGTGCATTGAGTTTATTTAAGTGTTTAATTTGTCTTGTCAATTTAAAAATGATTATTGTGTGTGTGTGTGTGTGTGTGTGTGTGTGTGTGCGCGCATGATGTGTGTTTGGGTGCACATGCCATGGCACACAGGGAGAGGTCACAGAAAACTTTTCTAGAGTTGGTTCTTTACTTCAACCTTTATGTAGATTATAACGATGGAAATCAGGCCATCAGGCTTGTGTGGCAAGTCCTTTCCCCGGGAAGCCCTGTCTCCGGCCCTCTTAGGTAGTGTAAAGTCTTCCTCTTCCTTGGTTGAATTATCCCTACGTATTTTATTTGTTTACTTGTGTATGCCACCTCGTCTAGTGAAATGCCATTTCTTAAATCCATGAGGCATTGCAAGGGGCACCAGAGCCATTTGTTGAAAAGACTCCCATTTCTCTATTTTAGAACTTGTTACAGAGCTGCAGTAACTGCAACACTGTGGCAAAACCAAACATGCACTGCAGCAGGGCAGACAAAAATCAAACCATTACAAAGTATTTCCAGTCCGTGGATGCACAGGGAGGCCAAGAGCAGCCAGCAGGAAGGCTATTGGGCCAGCTGGACTCCAGTGCACACTATACAACACATACACAAAATTCTATTTTAAATCAATACTTAGTAGAATGCATAGGATTCAATCTTTGTCACCTCAGATTTAGTTGTAAGTGACACCAGAAATCAAAAATAGAGTCATCAAAGCTCCAAATTTCCTGCATGACAGCATACTAAAAGAAAGGAAAAAGACTGTCCAAGAATAGGGCAAAAAAGCCTGTAAGCAATCTCCAGTGAAATAAATGTCTTCTTTTATACAAGCTCAGTGGTCGTGGCATCTCTTCACACAATAAAATCCTGACTAAGACATATACCTATACACTTACTTGGCTAGAAGAAGGAATAAGGGGCTGGAGAGATGGCTCAGTGGTTAAAAGTGCTTCCCACTCTTACAGAGGACTCAGGTAGGGCTCCTAGAACCGGCTCTGGGAAGTTTGCAATCTCCTGTAACTGCAACCCTACAAGGTCTGATACCCTCTTCTGGCCTCCACGGGTACCCACATACATACACATGCATACCTACAGTCAACAGACACACATAAAAAATAAATGTAAGCCGGGCGGCGGTGGCACACGCCTTTCATCCCAGCACTTGGGAGGCAGAGGCAGGCGGATTTCTGAGTTCGAGGCCAGCCTGGTCTACAGAGTGAGTTCCAGGACAGCCAGGACTACACAGAGAAACCCTGTCTCGAAAAAAAAACAAAATAAATAAATAAATGTTAAAAAATAAGGAATGCAGGATTGACACAAGGTATAAGACAGAATAACCACAAAAACACTATGCCTTACTTTAAAACAAACAAACAAACAAACACAAGCAGCAGCAACAAGATACTCTAAAAGCAGCAGCTACAGCTTGGGTGGGGCATGGGGCGCTGAGGACTGTCTTGCTGGTTTTTTATCCAGCCACTGGCATAGGTGAGCTAATGACCCAGGCACTTATCTTCAGTGTTTCATACTTTAACAACAAGAAGCCTACAGAGAAAGGAAAAAAAAAATTCTCACAATCTATACCTTACAGTCAAATGAGAAAACTGAGTCAGAGAGCCTCACTTTCCTGGCAAGACCCATAGGGCTGACTCTCTGGGATGGCTGGCACTAGAATTCAGAGCCCACCCTCTGACCACTATGCTGTCTGCCTCCACACCAGCAGGGGAGACAGAGTGTTCTGCTAAAGGTGGCGGTGATGTGCTACAGTCCAGTAACAAACAGGACCTGGAGGCAGTCACACCCTCCAGTCAGTCAGACCCTCAGACCCTGTTGAGTATGAGGTAGCACACACGCAGGCCAGGCCGTGAGCAGTCAAGTCAAGTTTAACATCAGAGGGCCAGGGACCCACTTTAGCGTTGCAGCCTTGTGCCAAGGCCCCGGCAATCACTGTTGCTGCTAGTGTGCCCTGAGAGCACATGAAAACTCAACAACACAGGCCTGCCTGGCCACAGCCTGAGACCTGACAGACTGGGAACAAGCCAGTAAAATACCAATCATTTTAACCACCAGGAGTGGGAATGGGTTAGCACAGATGCCCTGTTATCGGGTGGCAGCAGAGCCCTCCTTCTACTAGCCAGCACTCAGGTGATCCAGGAGTGCGACTGTGTGTATGCATTGTGTATTCAAGGCAGGGGAGCCAGACAACAGACAAGCACAGGCCAGGAGCCAATTCACCTGAGCCCTTACCACAAAAACAGACATGAGGCCCTACAAGGAGCCAGAGCCAAGACTTGTTTTGTCAGCGACGTCTGACAGACTCCCCACCCCTCAGTAGTCAGCACGCTAGCCACCCCCCCCCACATCCTAACACCTTAACCAAGTAAGCCTAGGGAAACTCCAGCCAAGGGACAGGAGTCCAACAGCCCGGCACACCCTAGCACAGCTGCCATTACAGACAATCCCAATCATTCATTCAGCAGTTGTTTGCTGAACACCTACTATATGTGAAACATTTCTTGAGGCAATGAAGACACCATAGTAAACAAACCACATGAAAATCCTGCCTAAAGGGTGCTGACATCAGACACCTGGATTGTTAACTCATCTTACAGACTCAGAACCAAGCATAGTAGCACATATCTAGAATCCTAGCACTAGGGAGGCTGAGGCAGGAGGATTACTGCAATGCTGATATCAGTCTGTGGTACCAAAGTAAGATCCCATTTCAAAATACCAAGAAAAGACCCAGGACAGATGGCAGAGCTTACCCAGTGTCACATCAAGACGAAGGGGCACAGCCAAGGTCAGAACCTGTCAGGCGTCCATATTTGGATGGCTGCATTTGACAGTCTCAAACTCAGAGCTCAGTCTGAAGGGCTGGGGTGCCCCGAATTCCACCCTGCTGTGAAGGCAGCAGGAAATGGGGTTTCTCCTACTGTTCTGTTGGCCCTAAGCAGCATCCTGTCCCCTGTGACTGCTGGTGTCTGTGGCCAGGGATGGCAAGACAGGTTGACATCACCATCTGTTATTCAAATGGGCCCCTCTCACTCCTCTCAGGATGCCCTGGTTGCCCCATCTACCCACAGGCTGCCTGTGAACCATGGGACTCCCCTGTTCTTCCAGGAAACCACCCCCAACCACCAGATGCAGCACGGCTCCCTGCTGTAAGCCTCACATTCTCCTTCCACTCTTGCTTGACTTTACTCCACAGCACAGGCCACGCCACTACTGGATACAAAGGTCTGCCTGGACACCTCATCTCCTCCAGGATGTGACATGTCACTACAAAAATGGGGTCCCAGCATGGCTGGCTCACCACTGTGTCTCCAGGATCTACAGCAGCTCCCAGTACACAGGAGTCACTCTATGAATTAAGCACTGAGTGAATGCAAGTGTCTGTGGACCAGCCTCCTCTGGCCTAGCACCCTTCCTCCCCAAGAGAAGGTCCCCGAAGGCCAATAGTGACAAAGCCAACTCCTTAGCACATGCTGCTTCTTATCTGTCTTCCAATGTTACATGGCATCTGGTGCAAGGCACAGAGGATCCTGGGCTCTCAAGGTCTAGTCTCTTCTTTATCTCCGACCTCACCAGGGCCTCTGCTTCCTATCACTAAGTCCTGCCTGGACCGCAACATCTCAGGCTTTTGACCACCTGTAAGGATGTGGCTGGCAGGGCTTGTTGAGTCTGCTCTGCCCAGCTTCTACTTCACTCTGCTCCAACTACAGTGTTCCTAGAAACAACAAACACAGGCAAGTCTCGGGGCTTTTGTCCTTTCTGCCCCTCCCTTGGGATGATACCTTCTCCAGGTGATTCTGTAGCTCTTACTCCAGGTACCTTTTCCGGCAGGCTCTGCTCACTGTCACCCCCTCGGAGTGCCTCCCCAGGAGCCTGTCTCTGCTCAGCTCCCTGACTTGACCCACATGGTACTTCTTACCACCTAACATCGTGTGTGTTCATTTACTCTGTTACCACTCCCAGCAGAACATGACCTCTACAAGGCCCCAGAACCTTACAATCAATGACTATTTGACAAATAAATGCTGACTATCACTTGACTGAGTTTTATGTGACTACTCTGTCTAGACCTCAGTTTCTTTACTTAGAAGATAGGGGCACGAATGAGATCGCCAACAAAGATGCAGAGTCTGAAACCTTATCTGGGCTCACTCAGGGTATCCAGCTAGGGTCACAGGGCTGCGTGTGGTACTGGGTGCTAGTGGAGAGCAGGATGTAAGACAGAGATGCACAATCTGCCGAGCAAAGGTGAACCCTTACCACGTTTGTGAAGCCAGCCTTCTTTGATGACAGATACCTCATTCATGGTGGCAGCATTAACACGCTGTCACCTAGCTTGAGAGAGCTCAGGGCAGCAGGACATGCAGAAGGTTCCTCGGCTACAGTACAGTCTACAAGAAACAAGAGAGGAGCCGTGAGGGTGGGAAGGATGTGCCCTACCCCATCCTGGGTTCTGAGGCCGGCCCTTTGGCTCTGTAGCTTGCCAGACAGTGGGTAGAGCCAGAGAGCTGGGGAGAGTTCTTCTCTTGGGGCCCAGAACTGAAGGAGAAACATGGGTTCCTAAAGAGTCAAATATGCCCAGGCTTCACACCAAAGCTCTTTTTTCCTTCCCGCCTATAGCTGGACAGGAAGAAAGCCAGGTAGCCACAGCTCAGCCCTCTGCCTCCCCCAATGCCCCAGCACTGAGGTAACCCAGGATGAATCAGACAGACAGCCCTGAGCACCAGGGTGTGCTCAAAGCCAGCAGCATCTGCCTGCCCCCAAGACTCATGCGTGCACTCATTTGTTTTCAAATCAACCTGCCACATGAAACAAACTACTGCTTCCCCCAAGTACAGGGAGACATGTCACCCCCAACCTCAGTGGCCGCGGTGTTCCCACCTGAAGAGCGATGAAAACTCAAGTTTCAAAAGCTCTGGCAGCCTGGAGGATCCTACTGCACACACACTTGTCTGGGGCCTAGAGTTGTCCTGGGGTTTGACCAAGGTCTTGGTTCTTTCTCCAAGAAGACCTCTGCATCTGTCCTCAGGGACTAACAGCCAACAGACTAACGGACGCCGAAGCTGCTGCTGAGTTTCAAGTTCCCTGAACAGAGGGGAGGAGGCTGCCTGTGGTCAGCTACCAGCTGGGCCCTTACCTGGAAGCCGGGGCCTGGACAGGGGCCATGGAGCCCAAGTGCCTTGTGCCTGCCTCGCCCAGCCCAGGGTTATTTGCGGACAGCAGGTCAGGAGCTACAGAGGCCCCGGAGAAGTGGCAGCTGGCTCTAGGGACAGCATGGGCATCAGCTTTCTCTCGTGCCCCAGGGGAGCGGGTGGGCTGGACACAGTACTGCCTGGCATGTGACAGTGGAAGGCTGCCCAGGCTCTGGGCAAAAGGAAGGGAGGTAAGTGGGAGGAAGCAATGGAAAGGCAGGGTGGCCAAAGACAGGGAGGGCAGGAGGGTGTGAACTTACAAGCTGGACTCCAGGCTAAAAAGGAAACGAAGGGGTGTGGGGCCAAACAGCAACAAGGGCTTCCCCACACAGACCCCAAACACACAAGGGCTCAGAGGCCCTCAGCCCTAAACATCCATCACTGTCAGTCTCTCTCTCCACTCCCTCTCTGAGGTGGCTGACAGGATCCTAGGCCACATCCTCCTGGGGTCTTACCTCCCTGCCCCCAACTCAGTAGCCAAAGAGACCCTCAAAAATGATTCAGTCTTAGCCAAGCATGCTCACTCATGCCTTTGATTCGAGCACTTGCTAGGCAGGGGCAGGCAGATTTCTCTGAGTTGGAGACCAAACTGGTCTACAGAGTGAGTTCCAAGACAGCTAAAACAAACAAACAAACAAACAAACAAACACACACACACTCTGTCCTTCCTCAACTCAAAATTATCCTTGGCAAAAATGCCCAAGTCCTCAGTTTAGCACTCAAGGCTCTACAGACCTGCCTCCACTGTCTCATTCCTGCAACTGCCCCGCACCCTGCACATGCACACACTGTCTGCTCAGGCTGGAGGCCTGCAGCCCTGGCTCCTCCCCACTCAGGCCTCTCCACCTCCACGTTCCTCAGTGTCACTCTGATCCCTCCATCTACATCTGACCTTGTCCTTCCATGTCCACGCCCTCCACAGCTCCCCAGTGCACTTAGGAAACAGAACAAAGCCCCCCTATACCAACCAGGCCACAAGCATGCTTCCTAAACCCAGAAAGCAAGGGCACGCCATCGGGACATCAGGACATCAGGACAGTGACTGCACAGCCCCTCCGGCCTCCCCACTTCTACCTTCTGGATATTCTCCCTCTTTGGGGGCCTCAGAGAAGCAGTGCACGCTCAGGTTTCAATATCCGAAGTTGCACTGAGTACATCTACAGGCCTTTCAGGCAAACTCCTCCTCCACACCCACCAAGACTGTTAAAGTGGGCCAGCCGAGCTCTGACACTGTCAAGCAATGAATGGGCTGATTCTCCACAACAGACTGAAGTGTACAAACACCTGAACTTGGCCCATACCACCAATCTTCCCTGAGTGTGTCCTGGACAGCAGACACTAGAGAACATCACTAACATAGTCATGGGCCTTACAAAACTCACATTCTGAAGAACCACCACTCCCAACACACACACACACACACACACACACACACACACACACACACACACACTCACTCACTCACCCCAATGTCAAGGGGTGGAGAGGTGCTGAGAAGAATATTGAGGAGGAACTAACAGGGAATGGGGCCAGCCATGTTGCTGCACAGTGAATGGCGCGTGGGAGCAAAACCTCAGGAACCAAGGAGTGAACAGAGCAGAACATGAAAAGATGTTCAGACAGGAACGTTGAAAATAGAAAAGCTCTGTGGCGGGGACACAGTGCAGAGGAAACCAGAGACACTGCTCAGGGCCTAGGGCTGAGACCCCAAAAACAAAATCCTAAACTGTGCCCAGGTACAGGCCAGTTGTGAATACTTCCCAGTGAGCTGGGTACGGAACTACAAGCCCAAAGCAATGTTGCCTCTTGAAGCCTCTGAGACCCAGCAACAATTCTAACACCTAGTGTGAACCTCTGCTGGTGTCTAATGCACAGCCCTCCCCACAGCTACTGCTGGTCAAAGCCACGTGAAGGTAGCCAGGTGTAGCTAAGATTGGTCAGGGTTTCAGAGTCTGAGGCCACTGTCAACCTGGTAGTCTTAAGCAGGGCAGGGGAACTCCCAATACCCTATCAGAGGAGCTATAACCTGCCCGAGTGAGAACAGACTCAGCGAAGGGAAGCCGTTTACCTTGGGTCTCTCAGCTGAGGGGTAGGGGCCCTGGCCACAGCTCCACACGCCAGAGCCACTTTTTACAGTCTCGTTTCAGCAACTAAGAAGTCAGCGCAGCTCAGGCAGTCAAGAGCAGGGGGAGGAACTGGAAGATCCCCTGCGTCCTGCCTGGCTCCAGCCGTCCTCCCACTAAGGGTGGCGCCTCAGCCGAGGTGTCTGTGACGCAGTCCTGTGGTGATGAAATTCCAGGCAGCACAGCCAAGCAGATGGCCTGTTCACTGAGGAGCTGCAGGCTGAGGACACTCAAAAGGGGGACAGAGACCTGCCTGTGGAACTCAAGAACACATGGAGACCTGTCCTGACTGCCCTTCTGCACCACACACAAGCAGGGAGCCACTGTGTCTCCATCACGCACTAGCTGCTGCTTCCCAGAACATCCACATTTGAGTGTGCCAGAGGGCCAGGGCAGGGACTGTAGCTGCTGACTAAACACATGCCACCTGGGGGGCAAGATGAACAGAACAGGGTCCCTCACAGAAAAGGATGCCTAAATCAAAACCACAAATCTCCTGAGTTATGAAGAGACTCAAGCTCCCACTCTGCCTGGGAGAGCTAAACCTCAAAAACTCACAGTGCTAAGTGTAGCCTGCTGTAGGAACGCAAAATAGTGAGGTCTTCATAAAACTTATCAGCAATAATTAACTGTCAGTATTTGGCTACCTAAACCCAGTGGTTTCCCAGTAGCCACGCTTTCCTGCAGGATTTCTATGGCAGATGTTCCTCTGAGCATATGAACATTTTTCACACCACCAACTTTTATCAACATGCTCTTGTAAGCAGTGGACCAGCTAACAGCAGACGACAGCTACTGAAAACATAGATCCACTCCCCCTACCCCTGAATTCCCACAAGCAGATACTGTCAATGACAGGCTAGTTGTCTGAATTTTCTTTGTGAGCAGTTCCTCCTCTAAGAGGTTAGGCCTGGATCAGCAGTAGGTGACAGAATTTAGAACAAAATGGGGCAGGGGCTTTCACTGTGACTGTCTCAGCAGGATCCTGAGGTGTCAGGAAGGAGCTCCCCATTAACGCTGCCATTGGGAAGTACAGATCCCTGCCACCCTTCTGTCTCTGAGTCCATCTGTGAGTCTGGCAGGGAAACCAGGCCACTGAGGGGGTGAGAGGCTGCAGCCACCTGCAGAGGGTAACTGAGCTCGTTCTGAGCTGTTTCTGGCACCAGACCTTGCTCTACGTATGTTCATTTCATGGATTTCTTTTGCTTTCCAGAAATGGGTACCAAAGCTAGAGTCTTGTGCATACTAGGCGAGCTCTCTATCGACAAGCCATATCCTAAACCATCTTTTTAACTCTTAAAGGCATGGTCTCAAGTTACCTACAGTGGCCTAGAACTTATTCTATAGCCCAAAAAGGGCTGAATTTGTAATCCTCTTGGCTCTGCCTCTTGAGTAGATGGGACTACACATCTGTGGAATTACAGCCATTCTATATTTTTATCAAGCACCCACTGTGTGCACAGTATGGCAAGCCTGTGATACCTGGGTGCAGTGATAACTGGGACAGGCAGGGCCCCAGCTTTTCCCATGCTGACATAAGGGTCTAGAAGGCTTCTCAAAGTGGTGTAAGCAGAGCCTAGCCTGTGATACCTGGGTGCAGTGATAACTGGGACAGGCAGGGTCCCAGCTTTTCCCATGCTGACATAGGGGTCTAGAAGGCTTCTCAAAGTGGTGTAAGCAGAGCCTAGCCTTTGCCCTGTGGTTCCCTTCTCTTGAGAAACAGCTGCATGAGGCCGCTGAGGTGCTGTGGTGTCTCAGAAGCTATGCCCCAGTGGAACAGAAGGCCTCTGGGGAAATAAACAAGGGCAATACAGGCCTCGCAGAAGGGTCTGCGCTGAGCATAGATGAGCTCTGGCTTTACTGATCGCAAGTCCCAAAGTGGAGGGAGGATGTGGACACTGTTGGGATCTATGCAAACCTCACAGCCTAAGCCCAGGGCACGTTGTTTTGCCGAGCTTAGCTTGTTTTCTAGGCTGCCCATCTAGGACAAGGTGGACTCTATTCTGTTCCTCTGGCCATGAACTCTGGCAGCTCGGGTCCTTGGTGTCATGTATTAATTATCTGAACCCAGAGCTG